ATATGCTAAATTTTATCCTGATCGGATCTGATTTGCTTGTATAACGCCGATTTAAAGATTGACAATGCTGATGGTGCGTTCTTTATGTATCTCAATACTTATTGTATTACATACAGTACTCCCAACGACACGCTCCTGCGCGGATTTGAAGTCATACTCGCCAGATACATGACCTATGAATCCCAGTTATGCGTTGTGCTTCAGTTAAAGATGGAAATTCTTGAGTAGAGTTGTCATCAAAAATCTGCTTGACAGCACGTTGGTTGCAGTTACCCTAAAGCCCGAGTTGTATAACATGCTGAGAGTTCTCTTTCTGTGTGCACCATTCAAGGTTAGATGCTTTATTATTAGCACGATTACCATCAATATGATTTACATATTTTTTGCCTTCTTCTTTGGGGCAAAATGCTAATGCCACTAAACGGTGAACACAATGTTTTTCTCGAGCGATTCTGAGATATCCTGCACTTAGAGATCCTTGAGAGATTAAACCATTGGGAAACTGAACTTTACCTAGGGATGAAACTCTGAATTTCCGTGAATTAAGCTGTATTTCTCTCCATTCTTCATTGAAATCTCGTTTTATGTAATCTTCATAATACACCCAACACCAGCCACCGGCGGTATTTTGCTTCTTGCTACAACATTCTGAAATGCAACTTCCATTCTTGTTACCGGAATGTTTGCTTCTGAAATATATTGCTTAAAATATATATTATAGGAAATATATCTTTGTATCGGTTCATTGAATATACTATCCTCTAGCTAATATGGTTTTTGACTAAAGACTCAATTTCAGGCTTGAGCTTTAATCCCATAGCTCTTTTTTCAGTTTCTTCAGGAGGTATTCCGGATGAAATCATACGCTTATATGCAAAAATTCTCCAATGCCCATATGGGAGGGTTTGTATACCATCTAATAGAATCCAACGCTTATTATCATATGGATTTAGTCCAATTTTATTTACTCGTTCCAAATATATTTGATGATCATAACTTCGGAGTCCATACATATTATGACGAGTTAGCTTCTTAGTCCTAAGACATTCTAAAAATTTATCATGTCGAAGCTCTCTCTTAACTACACATTTTTTAACACCTTTGGCCTTTTGTATTCCATGTTTTTTCTGTCAATCTTTCATACCTTGAGGTTTTCTAGATTCTTCTTCCTCTAACTCTTTTTCGAAATCTGCATCCGTTTCAGGAGTTTTTGAATCATGCCCAACTGGAAGAACTGAATACATTTTTGGTTTCAAACATACTGACTTACCTATTGGATTTCCCTTTGATTCATCCTTCATTAAGAATAAATCTCCTGAATAGTCAAGATCGAAAACATCTGGTCTTTCAGCTCGATCTTTAGAAATATCCTCTGTCTCAATTCACATAATGAGAGAATCTGTATCTGTATAAAGTAAACGGGCTTTGTCTCCATAGCGAGGCTTTATATAACCGTACCAAAAGTTATACATCATAGCCTTGCTTTTTAACATATGGACTGCTGTAATTCCTCCTTCGAATGCTTTAAAATCTACATACAATGGTAAACTCACTAAACGTTTAAGCTTTTTATCCTGATCTGATCGAAGTAATTCTACTTTCATTTGTTTACGAATATTTTCCATCTGTTTTCCGAATACAGCATTACTTTTTAGTTTATGGTACATAACTCCAAAACCATATTTGTTAGCTTTGGCAATTTTTCTTTTACGAATATTTTCCTCGATATAGTTTTTCATCCATGAAGATTGTTTAAACTTGAGAGCACCATAGATCTTTGTAATCTTCATTCCAAATTTTATATATGTTTGAAGAGCATAATAGTGAATTACATAATTTTTCTTGGGTAAGAGGGTTTGTAATAGCTTTTCTCCTGATGTATATTTTCTACCTCCTACTTCTTTATCGTGTACCAACTTTTCATTATATGGACTAAGCCAGTTTTCCGGTACTATTTGTTTTTCTGGTGCTAATGGATAATCTGCAAAGAAATCTTGCATGTTTATGGGTGCTTCTAAATCAACTTCAAGCATATAACCAATTTCTGCATCAGGCGCAATACTTTGGATATCTGGTATTTCTTCTGGACCTACCTTTCCTAATATCTCTGTAGGCATATATTGCGTCATTGCACCTGAATATAAGGCATTCATATCTTCATACATAATCCAAGACTTCGGTTTGCTAGGATCATAATTAGGGCATTTTTCATTATTAGCTTTAGCATATCGATGACTTACCATTGTCATTCCTCCACGAATTCCATTCTCCACCATTAAATACTCGTCCATATCTGTCATTAGTTTAATCTCGACACCACTACTTTTGTATAATGAATCATTAAACATTCCTGGCGCCGAAACATAATGGGAAGGATCTAAGCCATCATCTTTTAGACACATAATGGTATAGTTCATGAAAACATCTGCAAGCAAAAGTACATCAGTTTCGAGATAAAGGGCATGGTACTCTCCAAAATTTGTCATTCCAAACTCTTGTCATATTTTTTGTGCATGTTCATAATCCTCCTTGCTTATATTTTGCTGATTAAGCAAAGAATAAAAATCCTTTCTACGTGGAATACTTGTTATATCAAATTTATCCCATGAATTTGTCCAGTCATATGGAAATACTCCCTTTTGAAACAGAAGTCTAATTTTATCTAATGAGTATCCTTTTTCAGTAAAGTACTTTACAGTTAGAGGGAAATTTTCAAGCTTTCCACCTAGACTTTCGACTAATTTATCAAGACCCATTGCCATATGCTGATAACTATCCAGAAATCGAAATTGACCGACATCCATAGCTTTGCATTTTCCGATATTCTCTGGGATGCACTTGAGCTTGTCGGATGTAAATCTGCCAACAACTTCTATAAGCAAATGAGAATCGTATCCTCGGAAATTATGGCAGATTAATGGTATCTTGGTTTCAAATGCACCTATACGCAACTTTTTATTACATGCATCATGTGCTGGGCCTCGGAATTTTCCAGTAATATAATCATGATCTTTTACTTTGCGATTAAGTTTACTCAATACTTCATAATATTTCTTTCGCACATCTTTCATTTCGGGGTGTTCTTTTTTCATATATATTTCCCATTCCTCACATTCTAGCAAACGATGCTTTGCTTCTTCCAGTTGCTGTGAAATTTCTGATGCTGGCTTATTGAAAGCCTTTTTGCAAATCCAGCATTCGATTGCTTCATTGTATGCCTTGTAGTCTCCGGGTTCCATGATTATTTCGGAAGGTGTAGATAAGTCTGTCTGAATTTCTAAGAGTTCTCTTTCTATGGCATCAACGAATTTTTCCAAAGCGTCTGGCCCCCTATATAAATAATAGCTTAAAACTTCGTAATTCAGAGAACTATCCATGCGAACAACTACATAACAATAACTACATGGCATATGTCTTTGGAGCTTTTCGGTTCGGGTCAATTGAGCTTCCTCTTCTGGAGTTAGCTTTTCTGTTAGACATTCAAGATCCCAAAATATACGATATGGATTTGGTTGCATACATTTGTAATTACGAAATTCTTTAATACTCTTATCTAATTTGGGAACTTTTGGTCTTTGCGGAACATTATTTACTCCCTTACAATTTTTGGAATTCGATTTATGCTCCTTAAATCCTTTTTCTGTAGAATACACACGAAGACAGTAACGACTTAGATATTCTCTTTCTTTGTGTTTACTATGATTGTAAACCAGTCTATGGAGATCCTTATACAATAATGGCTTTGAGGATTGTCCTTTTCATCAGGCTCTAAGATTACCAAAAGATCTACCTGTTTGTATTCCTCGCCTCTTCTTTCTGAAAGATATCGGAATTCGAGACACTTATTTTGATTAGACCATTCATATATACATAAGCTGATTTCTGGATTATTTTCTTCGAATTTTTGATAAACTGGTGTAGAAACTGGTACTGGAATAGGAATATCCTCCATATTTAGTTCTTCTACATATTTTGCATATAACCGGTGTGGATTTCTTTCCGGATGAACTTTAACTGGATATAATACCCCTAAGACACACCATCCAAAACACCAGTC